CTGAGGAGTGTATGTGTAGGATGCTGTCTGCTGAGTGGTGGTCATGCGGATCTGGGGTGAGTTCCCACAAAGAGGGAGGCAGCCCTGATAGAGGGATGAAGCTTTCTGGTGGGAGGGGCAGCACAGGAGAGGGGAGAGAGAAAGGTCAAATTTGGGCAAACATAGGACATGTATGTTGGGTAGGGGAGGAGGGCTGACCACCAGGTGATGGGAGGAGAAACTGAGGATGCTCTTGGGATCATTAGGTAGGGAGTGTCGTTCGTGGCATGCAGCTGGTGGACAGAACTGACCTAGGGCATCTGGGGGGTATTCCGTGAACCCAGGCTGGGTGTGGTCGAACACTGGCATCCTGCATAGTCGGGGTGCACAGCATGCTCTAGAAGCTGCACATGGGAACCCCCAGTGGGTGAGCTGGTCTCTACCTCTGACACACGTGTAACCTCAGGACCTAAACCGGAAAGCACATGGTGTCTGAGGAAGCAGAAGACAGCTGTACCAAGAGTGGTGGGCTGTTGGTTGGCCGACAAACAAGATCTTGCTACAACACTCCGCATGTCACATTAAGACACGTACTGTTCTGGCAAGCCCGTGACAGGCGTTCTGTTCTATTTTGCTTATGCTTGTGTATAACAGGGTGTCTCTGAGTGGTGTGCCGCCATTGGGGGGTCACCCTTTTGAAACTCTGTTGTTTCTCTGTTTTTCAAAAAATGAAACCCAGGGACATTGAGCCTATAGGGAAAGAAAACATAATTAAAGTTTGTGGGGAGGGGCAATATAGAAGAGTGGGAGCAAAAAGAATGAAATGATATCAAGAAGCCCAGGAAGAAAAGTATGTCTGGAGACTGATTACAGAAGAAACTGTACAATTATGTTTGACATGATTGAACTGTGGAATGATATGACATATGTATTAATTTCCAAGTTGCAGGAAATTAAAAAGAAAGAAAGAAAAGCAGGAATGAGTTCCAGGCTTGTACTAAATCCTAGTTCCAGTGGCAAAACAGGGAGGGTAAAGGGAGAATGGGTAGGAAAGAGGGAACCGATTACAAGGAACTGTGTGTGACCTCCTCCCTGGGGGACAGACAACCGAAAAGTGGGTGAAGGGAGACGTCGGACAGGGCAAGATATGACAAAATACCAATTTATAAACTATCAAGGGCTCATGAGGGAGGGGGGAGCAGGGAGGGAGGGGAAAAATGAGGACCTAATGTTGGGGGTTTAAGTGGAGAGAAAATGTTTTGAGAATGATGTACAAATGTGCTTTACACAGTTGATGTGTGTATGGATTGCGAGAACAGTTGTATGAGCCCCTAGTAAAATGTTAAAAAAAAAAAAAAAGAACAACAACAAAAAAATAAATCCTAGTTCCAACTTAAGAACATTTAGTTCTTACATCATGGCTCTGCTCAATACTTAACTTCATGAAAATATCATTGGAAGATAAGGGTGCTACAGAAAAGTGTGGTGAATAAAGCAGATGGTGCCCCACTATCAATCAAAATAGTGCCTGGGGTCTTAAAGGCTTGTATTCAAATAAACAGCCATCTAACTGAGGAGCCAACCAAGTCCACACAGAAGAAGCATACTGAGATAGTTAACGTTTATTGTGCCAACATGGCCAATGAACACATGTGGGATTGATTGAAGTGGGGAGAGATAAATGGCTCAGTGAGTCTCGCCTTTCTTGTCTCTTGCTTTTTGACCGTTGGACCAGTGTGCGGCTGCCTTGCTTATTCTGTGCCTCAATTTGCAAGCTACACTACCCGTGGGACACCTAACCCGTGGACTGTGTCTCTGTAATTTGAAGTTCCTGCTTTGCCACACCATTGGAATTTACATCTCTTGAGTTGGGGACTGTTGGACCCTGTCATCTGGCTGACTGTTGGTGTCCTGCCTTGCTGTTTGCTGCCTGTGCCTGGATAGCCTGAATTGCTCTACAGAGGACTACCCGGAGGCCCTCAAGACTTGAAGGACTGCCAGTGTCTCACAACTGTCTCACGGAAGTGAGTTGCACTGAGCCATTTGTACTGCTTTATAATTTAACTAACTGCTTATTTCTTATGTTATCTATCTAAATATATATAAAATTATTAGCATTCTGGTTTTGTTTCTCTAGAGAACCCTGTCTACATACATACCAACTTCTATGACCTAAAGATGACAATTACAACATTCAAATATGGTGCAGAGAAAAGTACCAGAACTAAAATTATGAACACCCAATTTGGAGAAGGCTATGGAGGACAGTGGGAGCCCAAAATCCATCTACAGATGATCTAGTCAGACCTAACCACTGGCAGATCTGCTCTAGCCAAAGACAAAAGTCCTGAACAGCCTTACTATCAGGCAGAGACCATTGTACTCTTGATTATGCTGGATCGAAGTAGGCACCAGACCAGTTGTCTTCCCCATAGACATGACCTGAATTTGTACTAGGGGCAAGTATCTCTTAGTTGTCCCATGACAGAAATTTCTTCTCTGTATTTTTGGATGTCGATGAGGGTCTTCTCCCTCCTACGCATCATTCACATTTTTGCCTTTATACTACATGATCTTATCCTTACCACCATAGTGCGATTTGTCTTTCATTGTGTTCTGTTGGGTTTCCCAGATGCAAGCACAGGAGGAATGGATGTATAATGACAATAACGGATACAATGTGTTATAGGGAATGCAGGGGTGGGGCATGGGCAATAGGTAGGCAAAGGGGATTTCGGGAGTAAACCATGACGGTGGGAGCGGGGAAGCACTAGAACTGATCATGATCACACAACTCAGTTTCAAGGTGATACAGCCATGTGGGGGAGGAGGCTCTAAGATAGATGTGTGGTGATTGCACAACTTCCCTTGATGTGATTGAACTGTTCAATTGTATAAGATGTGAACTACGTGCCAATAAAACTATTGGGGAAAAAATAAGAAACGAAGGCTCACATCTATGCACATCATAATTAAATAATTAAATGTAAGAACTCTAGCGGCAAAGTGAAGACTTTACAGTTGCCAAAGAGACAGAGAGAAATAAAGGTTACTCAATAAATATTAAGAATCAGAATGGCATCAGAAATTTAGCAGTCACTCCAAAAGCTAAAAACACACAGTATAATGCTTTTGAATTTTTGAGAGAAAACGATGTTCAAAATAGATAGATCATCATTTAAATTTAAAAACAGAATAAAGACATTTATAGCCATTCAAAGCTTAAATATTTGCACGACATTCCACCCTTAGTTACCAGGAGGCTACCCATAGAAATTATTAGATGAATCTGGAAAAGAAAGACCAGTAAATAGTGAAAACTAGATGAGAAATGGAGGCAGTAAGTAACATTCTGTTGGAGAGCACTCTAGGAGAGTAAGAACAAAATCAAAGGGGTCCACTTGTAGCAGCAGCAACCACTTACAGGGCTGAAATCATGTAAACACTACTTTTTATACGAAAACACATGATAAACACATTGCGACTTCGAAAGGTGGGATTTTAGTGATTCACTGTCACAAAGAAGTGATCCCAAACTCAAACCCACTACCATAGAGGAGATTGTGACTCATGGGGACCCTGTATTGGACCAAGTAGAACTACTTCCTAGGATTTCAGACAAGAGACCCACACCGAAAAGTATTAAATTAAGAGATACAATATAATAGTATGAGGGGGCTTTTAAGGGGTTGTGGGAAAATTCCATTATCTTTTAATTCCATTTTCTAGAAACCTTTGAAGTCTCATTGTACAATTTTACAAATGGAGATTTAAGTACCAGAAGAATCAGATAAAAGAGTTGAAATGTACTGCTCTGAAGAAGGACAGTGGAGAGGTGTGGGGTATATTGGGAGAGAGTCAAAGGACTGCAGTTTTTCAGTACTACTGTTTGAAAAAAATAAAAATCTATAGAAAATATATGAGCTAGAAGACTTTTAAAATTTTGTATGTGAATTTTATCTAATGCTGATGAGACCCACAAGATTAGGGTTAAATCGCAGGTTTAACATGGGGGAGAAGATGCTTTGTACTTCCTCGTTGGAAAGAGTTCTTAAGCAGACCCCACTATCCACTGTAGGTTCCACCTAAGCGTTTAGTTCTCAGGACAGAACGTGCAATTTCTGTGGCCAAGCTTGCCTCTGGCTGTAAGCTCTGCTGGGAACAGCTTCCCACACCAGCTTTAAGCTTCCTGACTTTCTTCTTAGGGGGCGATTTGTATCTTCCTCTAATATTTCCGATCCCTACGCCTCTATCAAAACACTCATTACACTGAATTTTCATTTTCTTTTTGTAGCCTACATCTGCACCTGACTTAGCCACCTCCATTGGGACCCACCTTCCCTTTGTCGTCCTAGGACCTAGCACATGACTGCCATGCCAAGTTGGTAGAATGAAGGGACAAATGAATGGGGCGGGGCATTTATAGGGCAGGAGTAGGACAAAGGGTGAGGGACTCCTGTTTTACAAATTACAATCATCAACACATAGAAAATATTTCTGAAGTGGTTGGCTGGGGCTGCTCGCCACCTCACAAGGACCTTAGAAGAAAGTACATATTCACTGGCTGGAATGAATTAAGGGTGGCAATAATCATGTCCAGATTTTGAATATTTTATGTAATTAATACACATTATATATAACATACTATTTTAGAAACAACATAGAAAGGCTCTTTTTTTTTTAAACACAGCATTACAAATGCACGATATTAGTGAGGTGATTAGAGACAGACTTGAGTTACATATTTCTTCCTTCTTCAATGTCTGGCCCTTTAAAAAGCGCCCTCCCAGCCATGAAAGCTTCCTCCTGGGTAGCCGCGGCAGGAAGTTTCCCTTTCCTGGCAGGGCTTAGGCGTGGGGAACAACTGGGGCAGCTTAAAAGAGATGCTGAGAATCACTAGCAGGGCCAGGAGGGCTGTGATGGGGAGGACGGGAAAGAAGCTTCTCTCTCTCTCTCTCTTTCGCTCTCTGCCTGACCGGTTTTCCCTGCAGCCTCCTCCCCTGATCCTCCCTTCCATTTACCTTGTGGTGCCCGTAGAGCCAGTGGGTGGGGGGCGCCGGGAAGCAGCGCAGGTCCCGCAGCAGCCGCTGCCTCCGCAGGTGGAGCTTGATGGCCTGCAGCAGGACCAGCGCCAGACAAAACACGAACGCTAGGTAGAAGGGCCGCGCCCAGCGCGTCTCCAGCCAGGAGGGCTCCATCCTTTGCCGCGGCGCACAACCCGGCGATCCCCGGGAAGCGGGGTAGCTTCCTCCAGCTGTTGGGGCGGATCCGCGACCCTGAGTGGTCCGTGAGCGCTCCCCACGGCCCGCGGGAGGGGAAGAGCGGCGGGAGGGGCCGCTCAGGCCCGGGCAGGGGAGCAGGCCTGCGTTCTAACCAGTTATCAATTGCTGCCAGCCTTCATTTAGCCAGGACTTCTAAGACCAAGGAATGCCCCTGGAGGGTCATATTTCTCGCGTGACAATTCAAAAACTCGGAGACGCTGAATCTAGATTTTGACATAAGACCGAGGCTGAGGTCATCGTGTTTTCTCCTTTGGCAAAAAATAAATAGCAAATAGCTATGTGAGTCTGGAATTATATGAACAATTGCAGGGGCCTGGAGGTTGGTGGAAAGGAGGCCTGGTGGCTCTGTGGCTTAAACGTTGGGCTGCTCACCACAAAACTGGCGGTTCAAACCCAGTAGCCACTCAGAGGGAGAAAAATGAGTCTGTGTGATCCCATGAAGACTTACAAAGTCTTGGAACCCTGTAGTTGGCCATGACGAGTCTAATCAACTTGATGGCATGGGCAGACCCAGTGAGGTAGAGGTGCTAATTCCTGGCATTTAGTTTTCCATATTCTTCCCAGTCCCTATTCCTTCCCAGACAGGATGTGTGTCCAGGTGTACTGTGGCCTTTAAATGAACCAGGAGGTGATGGGAGAGAACAGAGGTCCATGCTCTGCCGTCAGGAGCCCAGCTAGTCTCAGCTCTGTGCTTTCTACTTTGGTCTGCCCTTGGGGATCGTGCGCTGAGGGAGGGTGGTGAACTTACGATTCCTTCTCTTCACAGGGTCAGGGCACGGGAAGAAAGGCTCCACGTGGGACCCAACCCCACTCAGGTGTTAGAAGGTTGTATGGCTCCTTCTGAGGCCAGGGCAGTACATCCTGTAACCCCTTCGCTCCAAGGCTACTTTGTCCCAAACCAACATCACCAACTGCATCCTCTATCTTCTTGAGGATGTTTCACACTAGTTCCCAGAGCCTCGGAGAAGCACAGGCCTTCCCGGGCCCTACTGCCATTTTCACTTTGGTCTCTTCTGAAAAGGAAGCACAACAAAATCCCATCGGCTCTCAACTTTCTCCTCAATCCAGCCAAACTCCTCTCTCAGCATTTCATCCTCAACAAACAAACAAACAAAACCCCCTCACCGCCATCAGTTAATTGGGACTCATAGAAAACCGTTAGGACAGGGTAGAACTGCCCCTGTGGGCTTCTGAGAGTAAATCTTTTAGGGAGTAGAAAGCCTCATCTTTCTAAATCCTGATTTGGGGCTAGCAGCCCAACTCGTGACCCCTACAATGCCAGAGCTCCTAGAGGAGGAGAACCCGATGCACACAGCTAACTCGGGATTCCTGACCACGACCACTTGTCTTTGTCCACCGGGCAGGCTGGAGGAGTGAGCTGGTCATCCTACCCCCTTCTCATGTGGTAGAGACTGTCCTTAAGTGAGTGAAGGTGTATCATTTACACCAACAGAGAGAAAGGAATTTAGAACAAAAATCTTTTTCTGGCCGAAGATTGAGTTTCAATAGTTACTGACACTAGAAAGTCTTATTTGAGGTATCAAAGGTAGAGCAAGGACCCTTTCCTTCTTTTGGTCTTTCTGTACAAAGATCTGCTGCACTGAATCCCCTTTGCTGTCAGGCACGGGTCAGAGGACATTGCAAAACCCCGGTAGCATAGACAGTGGGGAAAAACACAACACAGAAGATACCAAAAAGAAATCCTGTAAGTCATCCAGTTCTCTCCTGATGACCCCTTCTATCTCAGACACAAACGATGAGAAAAGAAGGTGATTGATCAACTGCACAAAACCCCACAGAAATCTGGGTTATACAAACAAGGCAATACAATCAAGACACTGTGATTTCAATTTTGACTGAAATTATAGCTCAGCATGGCAATATTAGTTATCTCAAGATTATCAAAAGGAAATAAATATATATTTGATTCATTAAATAAATATATATGCTTAATTCATTAAATACATATATATTTGATTCATTAAAATGTGGAGATAAGTGATTACTTCATAAAAAATACAATTTTATAATATATCAGACCATGGAGCCATAGGGTTTAAAGTAGAAAGATCAGTTGGAGCCCAAGACAGCCTTGCATTGCACCAAATATGAGGTTCCAGATATCCACTGCTCTCTTTGCTTGTTCAATCATGTAGTAGATAGGCATTGAACTTCTACTGTGTCCAAACCTTGTGCTAGGTACATGCTAAGAACTCACCATGTGATGGGAGAGACAAGAAAACAAGTAAGTACTATTGAGGCAATCAGTATAGAAAACAACATTGATATCCAAACCAAGCAGAGAAGAGAATAATGAACCCTATTGGATTTGGGGGATGCAGGTAAAGGCAGAGATGCAGAAAAGGTTCTATAACTGAAGTGATGTTTTCATCTACTTATTCATCGATTCAATGGGTATTTGCTGAGTACTGACCACATACCAGGCACTGCGCTGAGTATGGCCCCTATCTTTTTGGCCTAGAGTCAAGTGGAGATGTTTCCTAAAAAACCAGAAAGTATCTTATAGTGGGACCAAAGTGGGAAAGGGCAGTGCACTGAGAAGAAAAAATAAATGAACAATGAAACAGCCTGGAGCCAACTGAATACTGGCTGCTGATTAGCATAGCTGGATTTCAAGTCTCACAGAATAATGTGGGAGCTTGGACCACATGTAAGGCAAAAGTCAGGCCCTGAGGGAGTTGGCAGACACAGTTAAGGATTTTGGACTTTACAATTAGCCATGAGAATCCACTGAAGGGATTTAGAATGGGAAATGACATGGGTATAATAATAATAAAATTTATGATGTATTTATTAAGCGACAAGTACTATTCTAAATTAATTTGCATGCAATAACTCATTTAGTCCTCATAACAAACCTTTGATGTAGGTATTGTTATTATTCCTATTTTATATCTATGGAAACTGAAACAGAGAGATTATGAAATGTGTCCGAGAATATCAGAAAGTAAGAAATAGAGTCAGAATTTGAATCTAGGCCGTTTAACTCTAGATCTCAAGATTTTAACATACAGGAGAATACATTGGAGGCAGTGGCAGCCTGAGGGGCAGGGAGTAAGACTGAAATTAGTGTGCACGCTGGGGCAGAGTGGTAGATTGCAGCCTTCACTTCCTTGTGACACAGCATAAACCTGTGTGTCTGTATTGGCCCAGGGTTCCGGCATGTGTGGGACTCAGCCTCCTTTGCATTTGTCCCACATATTGTGTGGCGGTCCCATCAGGTCCAGCCCCTGTCTTCAGAATGCACAGCCTGCCCTGGCAGTGTGAAAGGAAGAGTGCAGTCACCCTCTAAGTGGGCAAGATTGAGTCTTTTCACCTAGTAGGTGTGGGGAGTAAAGGGTTGACCCAGCTCCCTCATGCTCAGGTGCTCTAGGAATTGTTTGCAGGATGGGAGCGGCTGCCAGGCTCATGTTTGGGGAGCTGAGACTTCACTGCTACCTTTGATCTTCTTGTGTGGATTTCACCCTCAACTCTTATGTTTTAGCATTTAGCTCACTTATTTTTCATTCGTCTAAGGCACCATCTTTTACTGGACGCTCAAACCAAGTAGGTTTTGTGGCAGTTATATAATCTCCTGTCAACTTGTGAAGGGGTGGAGTCCAGCCTGTCAATCAGTCCACAGCTTGATGACCTCATTTGGAGGCACCATGGAGATACACTCACACACTCTGCTTTGTCTTCCTGGAGGAGTCATGTGGAGACCCCTGTCAGCGCTGAGATGCTTCCATTGCCACTGAATCCACAAGATTTTCCACCCACTGGCCTGTGATATTCCTGAATTTGGTGTCATTTCATGTTTGGGGTGAGTCTGAAGCTGAATTTATAGATTGGTATCAGATATATGAACTAATGTTGGATTGAGGGACTTAATCTGGCCTAGGCTGAGATATTTTCTCAATATACAATTGGTTTTTTACATAAAACTCTTTCTTATACTCATATGAGTGTCTATGAATTTTTTCTCTCCAGTCAACCCAGACTAACACAGATTTCAAGAAAGAAAAGACTATTTTAAATTTGGGAAGAACATAATAAATAACAAGGTAACCTCAGAAAATGAAAAAATCTCATCAAAATTAAAAAAGAGGAAACTCACAAAATCCCAGTAAACAGTAAGGGAAAACAAAAGAGAAAATAGTAAGAAATCCCACAAACTAAATGAAATCAGCACAGAAAATTACAAGGGACAAAGAAATCAACACCACCGCAAAAAAGCACAGCAAAATGACAGCAGTGCATTCCTATCTGTCAACAATGACTTCGAATCAAATGACTGAAATGCACCAGTCAAAGATAGAGCATGGTGAACATACAGACAGTGGAATACTATGTATCCCTAAAAAACAGTGATGAGTCAAACACCTCATGGCATGGACAAAATTGGAGGACGTTACGCTCAGCCAAGTTAGTCAATCTCATAAAGATAAATATTTCATGACACCATTGTAAAGAAAAAGAGAAAAGTGGTTTTCATACCAAAGGAAGATGTTGAAGATTATGATGAGTCCAGGGCAGGACAGAGTATAACAACCCCATAGGGTTTCCAAGGCTGTAATTCTTCATGGGAGCAGAACTTCTTCTGTCAATATCAATGGTTCTTTCTCGTATGCTACATCCTGAAAGGGTGGGCTGTCCACTAGTTTATTTTTGGTACAGTGACCATGTATTCTTTCCATCTTCTTTTGATGCTTCCTGCATCACTCAATATTTTTCCCATAGAAACTTTCGAGATAGCAACTAAAAGCTTGACGTTTTTCTTGAGTTCTTTCAGTTGCAGATTTGTTGAGCATGTTCTTCCTCTTGGTTTTCTAACTCCAGATCACTGCACATTTCATCATAGTATTTGACTTTGTCTTTTGGAGCTGCCCTTTGAAATTTTCTATTCAGCTCCTTGACTTCATCATTCCTTCCTTTTCCCTTAGCTACCCC